GGACAAGGAAGGAGCAGGAGAAGGATGAGGATTTGGAGAGGGAGGGAGGGAGGGAGGGAGGGATTGAGGGAGGGAGTCGAGGAGGGATGACGCCGTCACCCGCAGGGGGCCTCGGCCTGTTCCGGCACTCGGACGCGCTCGGGCGCTGGGAGAGCTGGCGGCACGCCCAGCAGGACGACGTGGCGGTGCTGCGGTCGCTCCGCTCGAAGCGGGAGGCCCGCTGGGAGAGCGCCGTCGCCGGCGGCGGCGGCGTGGACAACGACCCGGAGATCCTGGCGAACTTTTCACACCGGGCGATTTTGCTTCGTTTCTGGCCCGGGGACCATCATAGCTCGATCTGGCTCGACGGATGCCGCCGAAGGGTGGGGTCCAGGGCCCGGGTTCTCGGGTTGTGTTTTGTTTCTCGCGAGGTTGCAATTGTTTTGCAGCGTCGGAGCGCAGGGAGTGACGACGCGGCTTCTTTATCGACGACTACGTCGGCGACGGCGGCGCAGGCGGTATGTCACCATTCGAATCCCAGGCCTAGCCGCCGCCCTCGAGAATTTCTAAGTATCGTGCCCCCTCTGAAGGGCTTCTGGGGGACCTCTTGGGGCATCTTTTCGGCCTCTTGGGGGCCTTTTGGGGTCTCTTGGGGGCCACTTGGTGGCCTCTTTGGGCCTCCTGGGCGCCTCTTGGGGGCTCCTGGGGACCTCTGGCGGCGGAAGGCTCGGATTTTCGGTTCGTGTTCCCTCTTTGGGCCTCTTTTTGGGCCGTCTTGGGGCCCTCTGGGGCGGTTTTGGACATCTCTTGGGCCGTCTTGGGGCCCTCATGGGGCGTTTTGGGGCCCTCTTGTGTGAAGATGAGAGTTTCAGGGACAGCCCGAAACGCAGTAGATAAGCAGCTATTGAGTTGAACGCCCTTGTCAAGGGGCTTGAGGAGTGTTATGTTGCATGATATGCCATGTTGTGTTTCCATGGCCGCTTGCTTCTCAAACGATATCAGGGGATCCCTTTTTTGTGCCAGACAGCGATAACAAGTTATCAGATGTGTTCCAGTCTTTGATTGGGGTTTCCCTGATTTCATCAGCTGTGTGTGTGGTGCGACCAGTACAATTTCATATTGATCGACCGAGCGGATCTTACAGCTCGAGGAAAAGAGGCTCAGAATCACTAACATTGACACTGGTAGTGCGGAGCTGTGCGTTTCGAGACGGCCTATGCTATTCCATTGGTGCAGTTTCATAGCGCTATTGCATATCAAGACCTGTTCTGCGAAGTTCGGGCAACCACTCACCTTCGAGAACACGTTCTCGATCACCGACCTCACAGAGTTCACAGACTTCACAGAGGCTGAACTCACAGAGTTCCCAGACCTCACAGAGTCGGACCTCGCAGAGTTTCCAGACCTCACAGGCCTCACAGAGTTCAAAGACCTCACAGAGTTCTCCACAGAGTTCAAAGACCTCACAGAGTTCAAAGACCTCACAGAGTTCACAGACCTCACAGAGTTCACAGACCTCACAGAGTTCATAGACCTCACAGAGTTCAAGGACATCACAGAGTTCAAAGACCCAACATATTTCGACACCATGGCGCAGGTACAAGATAGACGGAAGAGTGCACATGTTTGGCCAGACAAAGACGGCACACCCTGTTATGATGGAGACGCAGCTTCAGCAGAAGAATGAGATGAAAGAGTACGGCTTGGTTTTCTGGGCGCAGAGACAGCAGAGCAGAATAATAATTTCATTTGCAAATGTCAAGAACGGCCTCACAGACAGAGCGTGGACGCTGGGCCACAAGGATGAGAAGATATCAGTGTCGGCTTCCACGAGGTTGCTCAAGAAGGGCAACACGGCAGACGAGAAGGAAAAGGCAATCGAGGACGCACTCGACATTTTGATCAAATGCGCGCGGGCACATTGCGAGAAGGTGGCCCCACTACAGAAGCACAAGGCCTTCCTTGATTACTTCAAGCGTGGTCATCGGCGGCCCAACGAACCGATAAAGAACTTTATCCAGCGAGGGAGAGACTCATACGAGAAGCTGAAGGACCTCACAGGCGGCAGCACGCAGGTTTCGGAAGACTTGCGAACATTTTTTCTTACTAGACATGTGTGGCATCACAGAGGCGCAGCACAAAACATTCCTGGGCCAGGCACAGAACGAATACGATGGGGATGCGATATGCGAGGTATTGGAGATACAACTCGACGGCATCGACGCTCAGCGACGACAGCCAGGTGGGCGACAGCATGGAGGACGCAAGTTCAGGTGGAACTCAGCCTTTACAGCGGACCTCGACGAGGACGACGGGAACGAGGACGAACCGGAGGATGCAGAAGACAGTGGTGGAGACGACGACGGAGAAGAGATGGAGGCTTTGTCCGCCGCAGTGGAGGAGCTCGAGCAGGCCATGGCCATCGTGGACGTCAACGACCTCAGTGGAGAGGAGGTGCAGGTGTTCGCGTTTGAGGCTCAAAGGCTTGGTGGAGCTGTCGCGGCCAAAGGCCGCGGACGTGGCAAGGGCAGCTCGGGTTCAACGGGCTCAAACTACACTCGGCAGCGCCAATTCATGAAGGACGGCAAGACGAATCGTGGATTTCGGCAGGGGAAAACATACATCGACTTCGACGGGAAGATCGGCTTCGGATCGAAGGATCTCCAGGACAAGCTGGGGGCCTTCCAGAAAGTAAGCAAGTGTGGAGCGTGCGGCGAAGCTGGACACTGGCCTGGAGACCCGGAGTGCAGCAAGACCAAGAAGTCCACCGCCGGAGGCAAAGCTCGAGGACGAGGCAAAGGTGGCGGACGCGCTGGAGGTTTTCTGGCACGCACCGGCCTGGCAGCGGCTATGCTGGCGACAGGAGTCACCAGACCCACCGAGGTCTACATGATCGAGCCGACGCACAACCACATCGACGATGCGATCAACCCGATCACTCAGGTCAACGACGAGATGTTAGACACGATGGCAGCAGACCAAGTGGTACCTCCCGGGTACATTGTCCTAGACACGGCAGCCTTGGCACCGTGCGGTGGAGATCGAGCGATCGACAGCCATCTCGAGAAGTTCGAGCTGGCGGACATACAAATGCCGACGCAGACCATCTTCAAGGGCATCAACACCTCGGCCCCCATCAAGGCCGAGAGTACTCAAGCAGTACCAAGCGCCATCCAAGGAGGGGATTGCACGCTCAACTTCGAGAGGCTACCAAACTCAGATGCTCCTATGCTCATGAGCTTGGACCAGATGGACGCCATAGATGCAGTCATCAAGGTCAAGAGCAACCAGGTGATATTCAAGAAGATATCCGAGCAGCCCGTGAAGATCTCGCGCTCGCGGAAGAACCACCTGATGATTAACGTCGCCGACTTTCCAAAGGAACCGACGCAGCTCGAGGCACCGACGATCAGCACAAAGGCGCTGGATGCATGGACGGTTGAGAAGGAGGACGAGTTGCAATATATGACAGCGGTCATCGAGACGATCGCGACTGCGGTGAATGACACCGGTATCATGACCAAGTCCCGGAAGAAGCAGGTGGACGTCTGGATCGCGGACAACGCATTGGAACAGCGTGCGACCTGGAATATACTACGCAAGGATCAACATCGACTGTTTGTCCCTAGGACGGTAGTGAAGGAGATCTACGGCGGATAGTGCAACGTCACGAAGCTCGCAGGCAGCCGTGGACTCAGGACTGGCCAATGCAAGGACCTACGCACCACTGGCGACGACTTGCTACTGCCAAGTGTTCAAGTAGCTACGATGCGGGAGATCGAGGATGCGGATCCGCACCTCGCGATCGCGCCGTTTCCGTGTGACGGCCTCTCGCCTATCAACAATTTCTACTCAGAGAAGGAGCGGCGCAGGCGCCGCGCGAAGGCACTGGCGCATGTACGATTTGCTTTACACATCGTCAAGCATAGACTGACCCATGGCAGACATGTTTTACTGGAGAACCCTTTGTGTTCACAGGTGTGGAACATCATCAAGGGCGAGCTCCCACCGGAGCTGATCTGGGTTCGGCGTGACCAGTGTGTCTTCGACCTACGAGATGATCGTGGGGAGTTGCTTCAGAAGCCAACGAGGTTTGTGGCGACAGCAGTGGCATTGGCATGCGCATTGGAAGTTCGGTGTACCGGAGATCACGGACATGGTGAAGTTCAAGGCCGAGGCGGCAAGTCACGTGATTTTGCAGTCTGGACCCCGGACTGGGCAGAAAGGATCCTCGAGGGCACATAGAAACAATACGAGTTGGAGAAGCTTCTGGGTGGAAAGATCATCCTGTGAGTTCCCGACGCCACTGACGCATGCCTCGCTACAGGCTTCACGTCGAGCTGAGGGCTCATCCTGGGCTCAGACGCGGAGACCTATCAACAATGGCAGCAAGTACCAGCAGCACTCAAGGCGGCAACCAAGAAGCTACACGTTCAGTTTTCACATGCACTTCGAGGCGACGACTTGGCACGACATATCCAAGCAGGTGGTGGATCGCCGGCGGCGGCTTCAGCGGCAGAGCTATTCAAGTGTGAGCTGTGCGACTCTCAGCAACGACCGCCAGCGCATCCCATCGCAAGCCTACCGAAGTGGACCAAGTTCAACCAACGTCTTGGTATGGACATCGCCTACGTGCCTGACCTGAACGGCAACATGCACGCCTACCTGCTAATGCTGGACCTGGCCACCGATTACACCGCCATACAATGGATGATCAGCGGTGGCAACCGCTAGCCAAGCCCCACTTCAAGTCACGCCAAGACGGCTTTCGTGGAGGGGTGGCAGCGGACACGATTGACCCCGCAGCGGTTTCAGATTGACCAGGATGCGGCCTTTCGTCTGGAGTTCGAAGCTCTCTGCGAAGATCTCGGAGTTCCATGCATTCCAGTTGCCCCAGAACAACATCATCAACATGGAAAGGTGGAGCGGAAGATTCGGTTCTTCAAGGAGATGGCCACCAAGGTGTTTCGCGAGCTCGAGGTGAAGGATGACGAGAGCGCCAAGGTCGCCGGTCACCAGATTGCTCAGACCATGGACCGTCTATCGAACAACAAAGGTGTTTCCCCAGCGCAGTGGGTCCGTGGAGAGAACCCATCACTACCGGCATCTCTTGGAGATATCAATACTGATCCTGTTGTTGCAGGTCAGGTTGCACATGGATCTCTCATGTGGCATCGCCTACGGCTTCAAGAAGCATGCGAGGTCGCATTTCACCAAGCGGCCAACAGGTCAGCCC